ATTTAAAACCATGATCAGTTCGACTGAGGTAAAATGCTTGAAAGCAATTGTCGACCACAAGAATAGTTGGTTGTGGCATCTAAGGTTTGATCATCTAAACTTTAGGTTGCTCAATCAACTAATCATTCAAGATATGGTAACTGGTATACCAAGTCTTGAAATGCCTGATAAACTTTGTGAAGACTGTCTAGTCAAAAAGCAGTCTAGGAAGTCTTTTGTTTTAACTAGGCCAATGAGATCATCCTGCATACTCGAAGTTGTATATTCAGATGTATATGGTCCTTTTGAAGAGCATACCATTGTTAGAAACAGGTATTTCATCTCATTTGTCGATGAGTAAATTTGAAAGCTCTAGATCTATGTGATCAAACGAAAGGACTAAGTATTTTAAATCTTTAATAGATTCTAGATACTTGTCGAAAATCAGGGTGAAAAGAAGAACAAAGTTCTGCGAACAGATGGAGGTGGCAAATACACATCCAAGATATTTGAAGCATTTTGTGTATAACATGGTATTGGTTATGAGATAACTACTTATACTCCTTAATATAATGGAATACCAGAAAGAAGAAACAATATCATATTGGACATGGCGAGATGCATACTGAAGCAGAAGAATTTGCCAAAGTTCTTATGGGGTGAAGCTGTTTCAACTGTTGTTTATATTCTGAATAGGTGCGCTACCAAGAAGCTGAATAATAAGGTTTCTGAAGAAGTGTAGAATGGAAAACGACCATCAGTGAGTCATTTGAAGGTGTTTGGCTCTATTTGCTTCAAGCATGTTCCTGATGCAAGAAGAAGAACGCTTGATAACAAGAGTGAACCTATGATTCTAGTAGGATATCATAAGACTGGAGCATACAGTCTATTCAATCCAATGAACAATAAGATCATGAAGAGTTGAGACACTGTGATTGATGAGAATTATGTCTGGGACTGGATTTCTAGTGATGCAATTGACAAGCTATTGATGAGTTATGATTTTCACGAAGCAAGTAATGATGTCGAAATTGAAGATATTATCAATATTCTAGTTTAAGTTGAAGTTGTTTCTGACATACCCCACATAGTCGAAGTCGAAGAGGATATGGCTGGAACAAGCCAGAGACCTCAAAGAACTAGAGCTCGTCTAGCAAAACTTTAAGATTATGAAATGGTTGGTGATGATGAAGTCACAATAGAAGGAGAACTAGTTCATTTTGTGTTACTTGAAGGTGTTAAACCAATCAACTATAGCAAAGCCTTCAAAGATAAATAATGGAAGTCTACATGGTCGAAGAGTTATAAGCAATTAAAAGAAACAACACATAGGAGTTGGTCGAATTGCCAGCTCATATAAAAGCTATCAAAGTGAAGTGAGTGTTCAAGTTGAAGCACAATGTTGATGGGTCGATAGCAAGACATAAGGTGAGATTGGTAGCTCAAGTATTTCTTCAGAGAGCAGGACACAACTACTCTAAAGTATTTTCACCTGTCACAAGATTGGAAACCGTTCAACTAGTTATAGCTTTGTCATGAAAGCAATTCTGATCAAAATTTCACTTAAATGTGAAATTGGCATTTTTGCATGGGTCTTTAGATGAAGAGGTGTATGTCACACAACCTCATGGGTTTTTGATTTAAGAGGAAGAAATAAAAGTATACAAGTTGCATAAAGCGCTTCATGGCCTCAAGCGGGCATATATGGCATGGAACAAGACCGACTCATACTTAGTCGAACTGAGATTCGTCAAATGCAAATCTGAGTATGGTGTCTATGTTTAGGTTGTGGCACAAGATATAACAGTCATCTATCTATATGTTGATGACTTGCTAGTAACTGGAAATAGTTTGAAGAACTTGTCAAAGTTCAAAGAGCTGATGAAGAAAGAATTTGAAATGTCAGATATGGGAAAGTTGTCATACTTTTTAGGCATACAATTTTAAATGTCGAAGCAAGATATAGTGCTACATCAAAGAAAGTATGTCAAAGAGATACTCAAGAGATTCAAGATGGATAATTCGACTTCTGCATTTTCGCATATCGAACCAAACTTGAAGTTGGAGAAGCATGGAAAGGTAGAGAAAGTCGATGCAACTTTGTTCAAACAAATTGTCTGATCTCTGAGATATGTGTGCATCAATCGACCTGATACATGTTTTTCAATCAGATTAGTAAGTAGATACATGACCGAACCAAGGGTCTCACACATGAAGGCTGCAAGAAGAATCCTGAGATATACTTAAAAGGATCGACAAACTATGGAATTCTATTTCGACGAGACTCTGAAAGTAAAAAATCTATGGTTACTTGCTACTCAGATGTTGATTGGTGTGGAAATAAGGAAGATCAAAGAAGTACCATTGGATATTTCTTTCAAGTATTTGGTGCCACAATCTCATGGTGCTCGAGAAAGCAACCTGTGGTGGCATTGTCATCGTGTGAGGCTGAATATATAGTAGGATCCTATGCTGCGTGTCAAGTAATTTGGATCAGATTTATGCTTGAAGAAATGGAGGTCAAAGTGAAGAAACCTATGGTATTGCAAATCGACAATAAGTCAGCCATAAATATGGCAAAGAATCCAATTTTACATAGATGAAGTAAGCACATCGAGACTAGATTTCACTTCTTTAGGGAGAAGGTGAATCGAGGTGAACTTGAAGTAAGGCATTACTCAAGTGAATAACAATTGGCCGACATTTTCACCAAAGGATTGAAGATCGACGGGTTCCTAACTTTGAGAAAGAAATTTGGAGTAGTTCAAATCGATAATGATTAATGTGTTTCGACAACTTGGATTATAAAGGGTATGGTGAGATATTAGATATAATCCAAGTTGATTTATGTGGCCCAAGCGCAAAGCTAATTAGGGTTTAAGATTTATTACTTAGTTTGTTATATTTATTGCTTAGTAGTCAAATCACTTAGGTCTATATAAATACGACACTTTAAAATTTAGTTGTTATCATTCAATTCAATAATATCAATCCTTATTTCTTTATTCTCTCTCTTTCTAAACTCATTAAAAATGCCTCACGCACTAACATCGCAAAATTCTTATAATCTAGTTAATGCAATCTAACGTTGTCCCAAGCTCTCCTCTATCGTGGCATGATCTAATTCCAATCTTCCTCTGCCCCTTAATTTCATTATTAGAGTTAAAAAGTTTCTCCACATGTTGGCCTATGTTAATGCCTTACTTATATTTGAATCTCGATGGTCATAAGTGGAAGTCTAGAAAACCTTTTCTCATTTTTATAGTGGATTTTGAGAACCTTTTCGTTTTAATTCTTTACTTGTCATCTATTTATGGTCATACGTGAAGTTTTAGAAAAAAATTTCTCATTTTTATAGTGAATTTTGAGAAAACATATGAAGTAATTGGTTGAGATTTTTTTATTCAATCAGGCTAACTCTCAATTTTTATGGTTGAAGACTATACCACTTAGGGTATCTATTTTTTTATGGCAGTTGTTTATGAATCATAGTCCGACTAAGAACAATATGGTTAGGAGGCAGATTCATGCCACAAACAATAAAAAATGTGTGGCAAAGTGGCGTAGATGAAGGCATGTATCATTTGTTTGTAACATGTGATTTTTTCAGTAGGTTGTGGCCTATTAATTTTTATTGGTTAGAGTTATTTACGACATCTTAAAGAACAACTTGAGAATATCTATTGCAATTTGGTGGACATGGTGATTTTTCAAAAAAATGTTGACTTGACTTGACTTTTAATAGTATTTGGTGAAAGAGTGAAATAGACATATTTACCATAATATAGCGAGGCAATTGCAGGCGTTAGCTGAAAGTGTAAAGCTTCAACCATTTTGATGGTTAAAGTTGAAATATATTTTTTTCGATTAAGATTATTAGCTATGGAGATTAAATTTTTTATTTTGCTTATTAACGATTATATAGACCACTTTTTGCTATTTTTTTTCAAAATTTTGAATTGTAGTTTTGAATTTTTTTTAGCTTTTTCAATACAAAGAAATTGATTTGTTTTCTTCGTTGATAAATATTTCGGCATTAAAAAAAATAGTGTAACGTGAATTAAATTAACTTTTTGTTCAATTGAATAGCGTGGGTGTAAACAAATGTATACTAAACATTTCTCTTTTTAATTAATTCAATTTTCATATGGCTTTTTCAATAATAACAATAATAGTACTTAGTAAACTTAATCCATTCAAATTGGTTCTTCTTTCTGTTTTTTTCGTCTATCTCTCTACCTTCTACATTGTATTTATTTTTTCAAAGCAACCATTTACCAGCTTTCGCGATAAAAGACAACCGTTTTTTGCGTAAATTAATCGTCACCAATTAATTTAACAACATGATTTATTAAGCTACAATAAAAGGCCTTGCCAGCTTTTCCAATAAAATCAACCATGTTAGTTGCATTCTTACGCTATATAACTTTTTTAGGAAGAAAGGCCCACTAACATGCTCTAAAGAGATAGACTCTTATAATATTTATATAATTTGCTTTAAACGCGCAATTAATATATGACATTTTGACAAGAAAATCAATGAAAATTCATACATAACATCTAAATTTTTGTTTTGTTATTCTTGATTTAAAATTAAGTTCACTATAGTCTATACTCACCCGTGAATAAGCAATATATGTACTTAAAATATATTGAAAATTCTTCCTCAACCGTGCATGTGATATCCTAATTTTATTAATAACCAATAATTTAATTTTTAAAATTTCTGATAGAATCGTCTTTGCGTACAAGCAGATTATCACAGTTAACTTCAAATTTATTAGAAATCTGATACACATTTGACTTAAAGCAAAGAGACACTAGTGATATAATCATATGTTTGAGGCTAAGATCAAGCCCGCATAACTAAAGAGAGAATAATATATGTTGTAAAAAGTTACACAAGCATGAATCATGATAACACAAATATTTACAGAAAAACAAGAGGGACGACACAAATTCATTTACGCAACTTCAGATAAAGGAGTTCAAATAAGATAGACACAATTGTAAAACAATACTCATAGCATAGTTCCTCTACTGCCGCGAATGGCACAACTTCTACTTCGTGAAAAAAGAAGAGGTTTAACCTTGATATCATCATCACCTCCAAACTCATATACTTTATCTTCTTCAATCCTTCCGATTCCGACACTCCGACTCCGAGAAACGACCTCAACAGGATTTTCATCTCTGATAGTACGCGACGCGACCCTCACAAGCTCCTTGAAATCCTCATCGCTAGTGGTAGAGTTAACACTGAAGCTCCTTGGAAGAGAGTAAAACTGCGTGGGACATCCCATGGTGGTGTGATCTACATAGGCTAAGTCACGAGAACATTGGATCATGCCATTGATGTACATGTCTCTTACCTTTATCATGAACCTTAAAGGTGCCTTCATGTACCTAGAGAGTTTGCTTCCTTTGCTGTTAGCTTTGTTTGTCATGGTTCAAGATTACTTCGAATGATGGCAATTAGAAGGCACTTTATAGAGATAAGAAAACAGACACCTAAATTATTATTGGCCTTTTGGGTTTCTTCTTGTTTTGGACCGTTATTATAAGGCTTTTGTTGGGTTTCTATCTTTCTTATTTAGTTTGTAGTTTTAATATTGTTGTACAATTGTTTTCTTTGTTATGGTTTGGGTTTTTTTTTTTTTTATGTATATTCAATTTTCTTTTAATGCGTAATAAATATTAAAAAACAAGTTATTATTGGCTTTTGCCCTTTAATAAACGCGGCCATCTTAAACTTATCCTTTTGGGTACAAACAATTATATTCCCCTTTTTGCCTTTTTTTTCTTCAAATTATATTACTTTTTAATGTTTCATAAATTTATGTACTTGCGACAAATACAATACAGTGAGAATTATGTTTCCGAGGATAATTGCAAGAGAGTTTAAGTATGTTAAATTTGTGAAATTAGAAAATGATTCTCCCAATCCTAGAGAATGAGATATTGATAGTTAAGATTGAGTCTGATTAAAAGAAGGAAGCAGTTCCATCTAATGAATTTTACCTCGTAAAAAATAAAATTTGTTAGAATGAAATTTTTTTCGTAAGTTATTTATCAAAATTAAATAAAAAATAAAAAATGATTTATTAAATATATCACCTCACAATGCACTTAGAGGAAAATGACATTTTTTAAAACAATATTTGAGAGGTGTTATTCACTTCGCAACGGTTTTTTTTAATTCAAAATATTAACGTTATGGCAAGTCATTTCAGTGCAATGTTTGAGCAGAGTTGTGATAGACATTGCGAGATGCGTAATGTTAGACGATAGGTTTTGATTTTGAGGGGATGAATAGATCCCAAGTTAAAAAATTTTGGGAAAAATTGTTTTGAAATGTTTTATGACACGTACAACAGAAATAATCTGAATTGAATCGTCTAACTGAACCTCTACCGAAAAATTCAGATATGCGTAAAGGTACACAAACGTATGATAATGAACACAAATTGTTCAACAACTATTAATCATAAACAAAGTTATACCTAGACCTTATTCACAATGATCAAAACACAAAAAAATTAAGGCAATTTATCGAACACCTTGTGTACAATCGACATCATTTGAAAATTTGCTTAGTTTTGTTGATCTTAAAAATCAATCGCAATCAAACGAATTATGACGATACCAATAAGACCTATTTCAAAATGTGATCAAAAACAATTTGCAAATGAATTGATCAAACGAACAATGAATTCAATAATTTTCTAACACAATTTTGAGAGAGAGAGAGAGAGAGAGAGAGAGAGAGAGAGAGAGAGAGAGAGAGAGAGAGAGAGAGAGAGAAAGTACACAAATCGGCATCGTTATGGGTACATCTGCCCTCAATTTGAATTCAAATTGAGATATTATAATACATCTTACTTTGCAAATGTGTGTATACAGAAGATGGAGAACTCTAACCCTACAAACTCTAGGTTTGTTGTTGATTCTACAACCTTTAAAATCCTCGATCAAAGATTGATCGAGTAACCAACAATGTTGCTTCAATTCAACAGTTCTTGCTACTACCTTGCAAGACACTTCTTATCTCAAGGTTTTTACTTTGTCGAATTAATCCCAAGAGCATGCTTGTTGAAACCCAAGATTTACCAAGATGATCCACTATCCCACGCTACTCCTTTTGCAAGGCACCCCTTAACTCAAGGCTTTCACTCGATCATATCCGAATTGCGTAATCTGGTCCAAAACCTTCAAATTCTCAATGATCTTGAAACAAAAAACCCATCCCAATTTTTTTATTTGAAATCCTCAAAGTTCTCAACCCAATATCAATCGTACAACAACCTAATTGAATGTTATCAATTCTAATCTAGATGATCACCTAATAAAAAATGATTATGTGTAGTTTGATTGTGTGTATGCATAGAAGAGAGGTTGATGTCGCACCTCGAAAAATACACAATCAAAAATACGACCCTCGCGCAAAAGGAGCAGAAGAAATGGTTCGACAGAGTCGCCACCAAACTTTATTTATCCCAAAAGAGGGAAAGGAAAATATCGAGAAAACCTTTAAAGAGATAAGAATATGGTCATCACAACCACATTCTGGGTTCGGGAGTCGGTTACGTAAGAGGAAGGTATTAACACCCCCTTACATCCGTTGTACTCAACGAGAACTTCTTAGTTCGAATTGTGATGAACGTTAGCTAAACTTATTTGTTTTCTCCTAAATGAAAAAAAGCAAAAAGGTACGAGAAAGGATTTGATGCTAAGGGGAAATGGGTGGTTTCAGGTTAGGGTGTTCACCAAGGATCGGGGCCCTTGTGCCTACGTAAGCTCATTCGCACGAGAATGAGAAATCAGAGCGCTCGTAGTTCGACTACGGGAAACATTTTGGACAGAAAAGGTGGAAGAAAAAAAGGTAGAGGCAAACGGGGGAAAAAGAAAAAATGTACCTCGCCAAGGATTGAAGCCCTGTGCCTATGTATCTTCATTCGGACGAGAATGAAGAATTAGAGCGTTCGTAGTTCATTGATACAACCACGAATGAAAAGGAAGAGAAGTTTTTCTTGGATGAGGATTACTTGAAGGTTAAGAAAGTTTCCTCGGGCCCCAGTAATCGGGAGAGTGAATCGAAGACTTGACTCTCTCTCTTTTTCAATCTTAATTGTAATTGTGTGTCAATATTTGTTTAGTGTTTTTGAACGATGAGTGCTTCTAAAAATGGTTTGAATTTTATCGCGTTAGAAGTTTTTAAAGGTGTCAATTGCTCACACACGAGTAAGAGAACTCACACCCAAACAATTGAAGAAAAGGATCGAAGACTCCATCCCCCTCACTTCCACCTTGAAAAAAGTTTCGATAGTTGTTATGTGTTTTGAGTTTGATTGAGAAAATGCACTTGATGTTAGATCAAAGATTTGATTGTATTCGTGAAGAGGTTGATTTAGAGGCAAAAGGCACTCGACTTAAAAGTTGGTTTTGAAAATGACTCGACGACAAATTGAGGGTTTTTGAAAAAAGGTGTGAACCGATCCTAGTCCCTAGGGGTGCTCTTAGTAACGAAACCACGACAGAAGGTGCGAGTGTGTGCATTAGGTTGATGACGATGCTAAAGAGAAATCGACTTACAAGGGTGTTTTAAAAATGGCTCGACGATGAGTCGATAATATTTTTGAAAATGGTTTAGTCTAAGATACTCTCTAGGGATGCTCCTAGTAAAGAAACCACAATCAAAACAAAGCGAGTAAATTGCGTACATAGGAATGGGAGCAAGGTACATGAGAAGTACACGGGATTGTTAGAAATAAATAGGGTCATTGTCAGGTAGCCCAAGAGGAAGCCGTGTGTGTGCCAGGTGTCCTAAACTAAGCCACGAACAAGAGTTCAGACAAAATCTCCTTGCTAAGGTTTCTGTACAAAGTCCATACTCCATGCTTCAGAATAGTAACCACAGCCCACCAATTGAATCTTTTAGGGTTTTGATAGTTTTAACGTGTTTTCGAATGGTATGAGTAGAGTATGAAATAATATGACAAGATGAATATGATATGAACAATATGAACAAGAATATAACGTAAACAAGATATTTAACAAGTGTATATTGGACAGAAATTAAAGTTAGTGGTTAATGATTAATCATTAATTGTCATTTGATCGGATGAATTGTGTCAACTATAACGCTGAACCATCGTAGCACGATCTATGACAAAGATCATGTTATAAGAGGTTGCGCAAGAATGATGTTTGTGTTAAAACACGATAGGGAAACGGTATTTTGAATCATTCTCTAAGGAAATCGTGTCACACGAAAAGAAAAGCGGATGTTCTCGTCTTAATCACAAACTTTCGTCGATTAATCGAAGGTAACCTATCACGATTCTAAAGTATAGAAAATGATCTCAATGATCATTTTCTACAGATTTGAAACCATGAAGGTTAAACAACCTCAACCAACCAACATCTATGAATAAAAAGACTTCATCGACCCCAATGAATGAAATGGAATGAGCTAAAATAAATTGCAAAAGGAAATGGTCTCAATCATGAATTTTTATTGATGAATCGACAATTCACAATTCTTGGATATTCATCGACCAAATAATTGAAATAGAAAAGAAAGAAAAAAAGAAATTAATTGAGAAAACCTAACAACAATTAGATTAAAACATATTAAACACTAATAATAAAATCTATTTAAAAAATAAATGTATTAACAAAAAACTTAAAACATAAACTAATAATGAAAAGAAAAACTCTAAAGAGAGAGGGGGTGCGTGCGAGCACAGTGTGTCAATAAAAAAAGTTACCATGGGCTTCAAAAAATCCTAAAACACACAAACAAAAGAAACCAAAAAAGGGTTAGCACATAAATGGATTGAAACACGGTTTTTAGACTTTCATTCTTTCTAAATAACATCACAACTCAGTTTTTTTAAAATCAAAACCCAACAAGGTCATGGTGACATTCCTCTTTTATATATTATTAGATCTTACAAGCCAACAAACAAGGCAATGATATCTTTCTTTCATTAACATTCTAAACAAAGAAAAGAAAAGAAATAATACACGACCAAGGTCAATTTTAAGGAACACACAAAAAAAAACAAGCTTCAAAGATACTACTCTTTATCATCATGTGGCAAAATTAAAACAACAATAGATCATGACCTTATTCCCAACCTTATCTGTATGATTCGTTTCCCTCTCTCTTGATCCGTTCTGTTGATTTCGATTTCAGGTTTGTGAATTTTGTGTTTTGATTTCGTTTAATCCTTCCCTTCATCTCACTTATTTTTTGATTTTGGTTATATGGAAGTTGTTGTTGGAGTGGATGTTTGGGTTGAAGAAGAGTTGAAAAAGGTTCGCAATTTGGGGTTGAGGGAAATTAATGAAGGATCTTTTTTTTTATTATAGTGAATGAAGATTCAAGGAGAAATTTCAGAACAGGTGATTTGGGGATGGTTTGAAGGAGGGTTGAAGGAGG